TAATAAATAAATGTTCATTTTTAAAATGTAATCTGAAGAATTTATTATAAAGAATATAAATGAAAATAAAGCTTATAAAAAGTTCTGAAACTCTGTTACAATTTGAGTTAAGAATTAACTCCTAAATAATTCAGAATAAGTATTTATATAATGAAACTTTTTAAATAAAAACTGAATTGGAAAATTTAATAGGATACTTTCAATACTAAAAGATTGTTTCATAGTTAAATCTATGCTAGTAATGGCATGATATTAGGGTATTAAAATCACCTATTTTTAAAAATAACATACTTGAAAGTTATTACTAAAACTAAATAAATTTTTGACATATTTTAATCAAATAGTAAATTTCCAGAAATTTAGAAACAAAGTATATGCTTATCATTGTAAGATTCAGTTATTTAAACTTTCAAATAAGATATCCTTAAAAGACCCCTCTGATTATTTTTTAAATTAATATAGTCTGGAAGTGAAGATTGGATATAGGTCAAGATTAATATTGATATAATTGGCAACTTGTCTGCATGAATAGCAGAAGATGCAGTTTTAAATACTGCTCTGGATTGATATTTTCTTCCAAAACATTCTAAATTATTTATTTAATTGTATTTAATACAAGATTGTGACTTAATCATCTACCCTTTATTCCAAATTACATAGCATTTGTATATTTACTTAGCTAAACTGTAGCTTGATAATAAATCCAGTTTGATTATTTTATTAGTAATAAGATTCAATCTTGTTTTGTTATATAAGGAAACATTACACTTCTGATGGATTGGCTTATATTCCATTTGAGTCAATTAAGTTATCTCAAAGTTGGCTTTTCAAACCATTTTCTGTTTCATATGCCAAGTACTAATTTGCATAGGTATTTTTGGTGAAAATAAGCATCAGTAGTGTTTGGAATAAATTGATTATTGCATACAATAATATATCTTAAGAATGCTGTCAAGAAGTACACAATGATACAATGTCAGTTAATACATAACTCATTTGATATAGAAAGAATAAGATAGAAAAGTATGGATCATGTTTAAGCAGAAGCAAAAATCTGTAGCAAATGCTTTTAATAGTAAAATCATAAAAATTAATGATTTAAGATGAAAGAGTTGATTCTTAAAAGAGCATACAAGTGTTAATCAAAAAAGATGAATGTGAAAAGATAGTTGAATGCACTAAGAACAATAACTGTTATACTTTAAACAAATACTCCACAGAAGCAATCATAAGTAGATTTAATGGAATTTTTTAAAATAGTGACAAATTCAAACATAAGAATACTAAGATAGTAAAATCTTTGCATGCAAAAAAAATATATAAGGACCTATGAAATGATAATTCCAAATTTTCTGAATGTCTCATGGAGCCACTAGTACATTTCATATATTTTTGAATAAATTTGAAATTATAAATCCCAAGTTTCATTACAAAATATTAGAAAATATCAGGGTTATTAAAATTTTCTTATTTAATATTTGATGAAATTTCCAATTTGATCAATAATTTGAAATTATAAATCAATATCAATTGTTGAAATTTTATTGACAGATAATTCTATATTATTTTTTTGTTATGCTAAGTGTAGTGGTGCCTCATACTTCAAACATTTCTAACTTTGAATGCTTCAAAATTCAAACTGTGCACACAGTGAAAAAAATGTACTCTAAGTCATCTAATCATAAATTAAAAGTGCTAAGGTGCTAACTGTCACCCTGAGAGTGAATCATCACTATCTTTGTAGTGGCAAAGTGCAATTTTGTGATGCAATATTTGCAAAATGGCTTAAATACGTCAAAAATGATCTATATAGTTGTAATCAGTGCAAAAAACTGCAAGAAGTAATTTCCTTAGGTTTTTGACTGAGGTACAGTGCATAGCCTAAAGTATAACTTAGTATATATGTGTGATTTAATTATAACAGTTGTGAAATTTAACACATTATTGCTGGCATGAAATTGTATTCTTTATTTAAAAGCTTATTTTAAACATTATACTATACATTTTCTTTGAATAAAATCAAGTCTTAAGATAAAAAGCATATTGGGCAATATGCTTTGAGTTTTGGAAAGGATATAACACAATACAAACAATAAAAAGAAAATCAAATTGTAATGTGTATGGGAAAGATGCACCCATACTTTGAACAAGGATTTTGCTCTGCTTAAAAAAAGTGCTACCCGTGCCCTGTCCTTGCATGACTACAGCACTACTATAAGTGTAAGCATGATCTGTTGTACCTAAAATTGTCTCTTGCTCTTTTGTTATGCTTGTATGTTTCAATGAATTTTTTTTCTTTATTTTTGGTGTTTGGCTGTATATATATAGTGTGTTGTTTATCAATGTTAAACAATTTTCTTCTTCAAATTTTTGTCAACAGCTTTTAGGCTGTGTATGTTTTGTATCCTTTAATTCCTGAACATAACTTTTTAAACTACATTTGGCATGTTCAAAGTATGGATGCATCTTTTCCATACACATTACAATTTGTTTTTCTTTTTATTGTTTGTATGGTGTTATATCCTTTCCAAAACTCGTAAAGCATATTGCCCAATATGCGTTTTATCTTAAGCCTTAATTTTATTCAAAGAAAATGTGTAGTATAATGTTTAAAATAAGCTTTTAAATAAAGAATACAAGTTCATACCAGCAATAATGTGTTAAATTTTACAACTTATAATTAAATCACATCTATATTAAGTAATGACAATTGTTAAAAATATGCAAAAACTTTCTGTTCAATCTATTATAATCTTAACCTATTAACCATGATATCTGAGAAGTGTGTGGAAGCAACAGTATAAGAGAAAGGTTGTAATATGAACAATTGAGAAGAAAGAGGAATTAATTGAAAGCATGAAAGCAATATACAGGTGGCAGATCTGGCAGCCGACCAGTAAATGCAAATCTTTGTTTTTTACACAGTATTTATGTATTTTAATTATTGTTTTTATGTTTTACTTTATTATTGGGGCATTTAATTGTGTTATTTTTTATCTTAAATTATGTGTATTTGCTGTTTTAAGTTTATCAAAGTAGGTATAGTTTAAGGTCTGGGAATGAAAAAAAATCACTTTTTGTTATTTGTAATGGAAAAACTTAATTCAGACTTTGAACAATAGAGTTTGAATGGCATCTTGGAATGAATTTAATTTGAAGTACAAGGCACCATTGTATATGTATAATAAATTAATAAAAGTATTACAAATATCACTCAACATCATCAAAAATCCAGCTTGTAGATCAAAAAAAGTGAAATGAAAACCAATGTTTTCAATTGCCTTAAGCAATCATTTTCAGACTAAAAAAATTAATTTGGAAATGGCACAAGAAATGGAATGTTATAATTTAACTATAAAAATAACAATGATGGACAATTGGTTATCATGTGGCTTTACTGGGATGTAAAAATAATAATAAATTTTAAATAATGTCCTCCAATCAGGTGATAACATGTTGTTGTCTTTGTAGTTAATTGCTGTGTTGTTTCTGCTGTCCTTGTAAATTCCTAACATTTTAAGGTACTTAGGTTATCGAGGTTAATTTGTGCACAATGTAATTACTATAGTTATTATATATTATGTTAGTACCTTGAAATGTTTGGAATTTAGAAGGCCAGAAGAAACATACACAGCAATTAACTACAAGGAGAATCAATAATACATTATCACCAGCTTGGAGGGTATTACTTGAAATTTATTATTATTTTTGCATCCATTGAAACCACATGACTGTCTACTGCCTATCAGATGGTGCTCTTTTTATATATTAAATTATAATACAGTGGTACCTCAGGATACGAAATTCATTCGTTCTGAAACAGATCGTATCATGAAAATGTCGTAAGGTGAATCATTTTTTCCCATACGATTACATGTAAAACCAAATAATTCGTTCCAACAAATTGATAAAAAAAAAAATGTAGTTTTATTTGCACTTTACTTTTGAGGATAGACGACGGTGGAGGTGTAAACTGGTGGCAGAAGAGGGGGAGAAGGGAAAGGATACTAAAACTTAACTTACATAACATAATGTAACAATAACTTAAAAATAACTTAGAAAAGATTAAAAAAAATTAGTGTTGTTTTATATTTTTTTGTTTTAATTTTTATTCACTGCTTTTTGCTTTTTTTCCTTCACTTCCACCAGCACTTTCACTGGATAGAGGTTGCTTGGTAAAATATCTATCCAAAGAGGTTTGGCTTTGCCTACTTTTTAAAATGTTTCTAAAATTACTTAGGCAAATGTCACTACTCTGAGCAGCAATACAGCTAGTGTGAACCTTTTCGGGATGTTTTTTTTCAATAAAATCAGTCACTTTCTGATAATACCTCAAGATTTCCTTTATCAAGCAAGATCCTTCCACGACGAAGCAAACACGTGGACTGAGACCAATGAACAGAAGTGAATAAAAAATGGCACTGCGAACTAATGTAATGTCATATGGTGAGTTTTTGTTCGTATCGTGGAGCAAAAATATGTTTGAATTTCATGTCGTATCCTGAAAATTTCGTATGCTGGGGCGTTTGTATCCTGAGATACCACTGTAATTAATTTCTTGATCTGTTTCCAAATCTGGTCTTTTAACTTGAAGATGGTTTCTTAAGACAATTTGAAAATTTTCATTTTGCTCTCATGTTTTTTGAGCTAGATTTTTGGTTTTATGAGTGATATTTATATTTTTTATTCATTATGCAGTGTGTTTATTAAACATTACAAATTTTTGTTTTAAAAGAATGAATATTTTCATTGATTGATTTTTTGTTTTTAAAGAATTTCAAACATTGGAATAGTTTATTAAAAATATTTAATGTGTTCCAGAAAGTTTATTGAAGATATGATCTCAAATAATTTTGTAATTCAACTTCTATAAAAATAATTATTCACAATTAATTTTTTTTTCAATACTAAAATTTTTTATTGAATTTATATTGTCTTCAAAGTTATTACATATTTTAAAATATTACCTTTACAGATTTGTTTTTATTTTGTATTTTTAGAACATTCAAATCATTCTCCTCCAGCCACCATTATATTGTTATTGCTGCTCATATTTGAATCACTACTATTTGCCATCTTTACTATGGTGATGTTTGGCACTCAAATTCAAGCCATTTGGAATGATGAGACAGTAAGTAATGTTTTGTTTTTGTTGGTAATCCACAAAATTTTACCATGACTTGTAAACTTGTATTGGTGTTGGTTTTTGTATGAAAGTTGCTCAAGAGATGGTTTCCTTATTGTGACAAAACAGTTGCCTGAAGAGGGATGTGGTCTCTCCTCTGAAGTATATTTCAATAAAATCAATAAAAATAAAAACCATTCAACTATCCAGCAAAATTCTTTAATCACTTAAAAACGTTTTCAAACACATTAAGCGTTCATCATCATCGAGTATATTCATTAAGCGAATATACTCGATACCGCTAAGAGACAGCAGGTTCAACTCTAACTTAGTATATATAGGTGCAACTTTGAGGAATTTGAAAAAAAGAATCAATGAGCATAAGCTTTCAGTGAACAAAACAATTGACAGCATGGTCCTTGCCACTTATGCTAAACCACGAGGCATTACTGTTTTCTGGGACCATGACTCTATAATAAAAGCCACTACATCTAGACAAGTGGTAAAATATCTTGAAAAGCTGGAAATCCACAGGGCACAAAAGAGCATGCAGTGTATCAACTATAGGGATGCTGATGGGCTTTTGTCCGCTTGGAAATCTTTTTGCGACGAATTGGCATAGATCTATATAAAAGGCTCAATCAGGCTTATGATGATCGATGATAGATATTTTATTTATTTATTTATTTGTTATTATTATTGTTTATTAAGCACACGAAAATTTGTATATAGCACTTTCGTTTGTAACACGTTTATTTTTTTACATAACTGTTATTTGGAATTTCCATTGCGTAATTTTTCGAATTTCACATTTCAAATTATAGAATTAACTGATGATGAACGCTTAATGCGTTTGAAAACGTTTTTAAGTTATCAAAGAATTTTGCTGGATAGTTGAATGGTTTTTATTTTTATTTTTTTTGCACTTCAATAAGTAAGTAATCTTTATTGGCGTAGAAGGCTTTCGCCTGTTACAAGGGCATTTTATTTTGATGAAACGCATATTAATATCTCATATAATAATTTTTTTAACAATATTAGTATTTACCATTTATTAATCAATATATTTATATTAATATTTTGTCATAATTATTATTTAATTAGTTGTTTGACGTAGTTATATATCTTATAAATCGTGTTAACATCAGCTCTATCTAATGTCTTGTACATTTCCTGCTCATTAGTACATTTAGTCAGTGGCCCAATCTGGAGCCTTTGTAGTTTATCCTTTTTGTTACAATTTTCACATAAAATATGAATTTTAGATAAATTTTTTGTACAATTCGGACATTTAGATTGGGTATAATCTATATATTTGTCATTTATAATTATTCCATTTTTATTTAACCTAATCTGCATAAAAAACTTTTTAATATTGAAAGCTATATTTGTCAATATATAGTTGTTATTTACTGGATAATTTAGAATTGTTGTATACCAGCTTGTATTTTCTCGTTTTTGTATATCTTCAATGTCTTGGATAATAGAGTATTCCATAACTCTGTGTATTATTTCTTTACTATACTGCTCCATATCATACGTATGATCCATAAACAGTTTAATAGAAAATCCATATTTATTTACTATCTTCGATAACTGAATTATCCAACTTCGTCTTAAGTCCGTTTCCCTTGATTTGTGATATAGTAAGAACAGCAATTTTGTTGTTATATCTTCAGCCTTAATAATTTTGAGTAAAAACTTTAAATATCTTTTTATTAGTATAGTATTTATTCTGAATCTATTTGTTTCTAATCTTAAGGCACTACCCGGGATATTATATTCTAGCTGGAATATCTTACGTATGAATATATTCTGTATTTTCTCAGTCATTAAATTTTTCCATGCTCCAAATTGGGGCAGCATATCCCATTGAGTTCATCACAATCGAATGAAAAAGCTGAAAATGTGTACGTATGTTCTTTATTTTTGCCTTGCAGAATAGACCAATTAAATTATTTATTGCAATTTTTGATTTACTTATGTGAATTTTTATAGTGTTTTTCGAACGAGAGATTTGGTGGTTTTTATTTTTATTGATTTTATTCTCCAGTAAGCAAATATACTATTTCAATAAAAGATATTTTTAGAGGTTGAAAGTGGTTTTGTTTTTTTAAAGATGGATATAACAAAAGAGATATGACAAAATTGTTAATAGTCTCTAGTTGGTTTTATTTGCCAAAAAGAATAGTATACATCTGTTTCCATAATAATTATTCTAATACTAACATAATTAAACAATTAAATTACATGATTTTTCCAAAAAAAGTTGTGTTTTTGTTGAATCAGAAAAACAAATTATTTTTCTTCCTAATATCAAATATAAAATGGATCCTGTTTTTTAATGTATTATAGATTTAACATAAAGAATACAGTAGACCCCCTATAACACTGTAGATAATTCCATGTTATATGAATTCTATGATGTAAGAGTCACTTAGATTTTATAATACGTCAGCTGTTCACAGCCTGTATATATATAGAATGTATATAATAGAACCTGTCCAATGCATAAACAGAAAGGAAAAATCAGTATCTTTATTCAATTTAACACAAATTTAATAAGTTTACAAGCCTAGTATATATAAATCATTGAAAAGTCAAAATATACACATATCCACTACAGAATAGCAAAATATGACTACTGTATTACAGTAATTTTATTGGGATTTGAAATGAAAACTTTTGCATATTTTTATTAACAATTGTTTTTACTTATAATTACATCACATATTTATGTTAAGTTGTGAAATTTAACACATTATTTCTGATGTGAGATTGTATTCTTTGTTTTGAAGCTTATTTTAAAGTTTTTTATATCACATTTAATTTGAATAAAATCAGGTCAAAATGTCTGCAGATAAAATCACATTTGGCATATTATGCGTGCTTTTTAAGTTTCATAAAGGATACCATGCTATACAAACAGTAAAAAATACTCATACTGTGTATGACAAAGATGCTTCTAAACACTGAATGTGTCAAATGTGGTTTTTAAAGTTTTGTTTGGGAAATTTTGAACTAAAGGATACAAAACATACAGGCCCAAAAGATGTTAAAGAGAAATTGCAGGAAGAAGTTGTTAAACATTGACAAATAACTCATAAATTTGCAGTAAATTTTAGTGTGTCACAGACATGTATTGTTGAAACATTACATTCACTTGGAAAGGTTATAGAACATGCTGCTGATTGTGTTCTGCATGCAGTTTGTTTATTTTTTTTTAACTTATGAAAAAAATGAACTGAATTGAGTATAATTTTGTCAGATGAAGGTAGGTAGGTGTAAGGTTTTATTTTATTTTTTAAATTGGTTACTCATTTTTATCTTCGAGAACTTTTTACAGATGAATGAAAAAATTAAAGTTAAAATAAAAATATTTATTATTAACCGAAAATTTGTTCTAGTGGTGGTGATTGTTCAATTGAGTACGAAGGTACCATTGTATTTGATTAATGAGATTTTGATAAGAGACACTGAGCAGTAACATTGAGAAACTTATTAATCACATTTATTAAGACATAACTATAGTAGGTAACCTGTATATAGCGGAAATCTGTACTACAGGTGTTCGATCTCTTGGAGTTCCATTATAGACAGGTTTGACTTTTTAATTTTGTCATTTGTAAGAAAAGTTTTCTATGATAAAAATGTGTAACTAATTTAAAAATAAAATGAAATCTTAGAGCTGTCTACCTTTGTCAGACAAAATTGATTATACTTGATTTGTTTGTTTTTTTTTCACTTAATGCATGAGGAACACAATCATGTCTGTGACATACTAAGATTCATTGCAAGTTCATGAATTGTTATTCATCAATTTTTAGCAATTTCTTTCTGAAATTTCTCTTTGTTAAAAGCTTTTTGGGCACCCCATATGTTTAGTATCTTCACTTCAAAATATCCTGAATGTAACTCTCAAAACCACATTTGACATGTCTGACATTTAGGAGCATCTTCCCCATACATTACAAGCATTTCTTACTGTTTTTATAGTGTAATATCCTTTACAAAAGTTAAAAAGCATACATAATATGTCTGATATACATTTTATCTGACATTTTAATTTGATTTTATGCAAATAAAATGTGAAGTAAAGTTTTAAAGTTTCTAAACAAATAATGCAATATTACAATAGCAGTAATGTTTTAAATTTCACAACTATGTAATTAAACTACACATCTATATTGGAAATCACCCTCAGCATAAAAATAGCAAATTTGCCAACACCTTGCTGAGAAAAACATATCTAAAGGCTGTTAAAGCCATGTTAATTAAAACTTCTGCTGTCTTGAGTATAATGTTAGCATAATTTGAGTATAACTTCTATATAAAGGGATTGCTGCAATTAATTTCAGGTGTTATCCAGAACTGCATTAAGAAAGATACCTGTTAATTTAATTACTTTAATGTTCTTAAATTGTACTTTATTCTAAAAATTGTCAACTTGGACTTATCGGATTTTTAGGATTATTACACTGGTGTACCGGCTATTTACAAAAGGAGGAGTTATTAATCAGAAAAACAAAAAATCTTTATTTTATCACCTTTAGTATTTCCTGTACACATAATATGTGTGTTTTGGGCAAATAAGCCCCTCTTCAGCAGTTTTACTACAACAATTTTCTAAAAAGATATATAACAAAAACTTTTTAATAAATTACAATAATTTAAAAAACCAGACAATAAAATATTGAAACTTAGATTTTTCGTATCCAATTACTTCAAAATATGCATAAATCACATTTAGAAGAATTATTATTTTAACATTGCATCAATACATGTTTCTATATTAAAATAGGGAAGGTTTAAAATTATTAATTAAAAATACAAAAATTATCACAAATTGATTAAAACTTACTTAACAAACTTTGTTCACATGAACTAATAAATTACACATCACTTATTTCTTCCATCTTTTTATACCCCTTGGCTTTTTGCTTTTGTCATTAATTATGCTCTCATGATTGGTGGATTTCACGTCCTAGATTATTGTTAATTCTAGTCTTTTTATATAAATATGTTCAAATTGACATTTCAAATTATTACTTTCTTTTTTCTTTATTTTTATTGTATTTAAATTTATTTCACATCCATTACTATTGCAATGTTCTACCATTGCAGAATTTGCATAATTTCCCTTTATCGCTCATATTTGTTCTTTTATACGTATTTTTAATTTTCGTTTAGTTTCACCTATGTATGTTTTTCCTGAGTTACAATTGCAATCAAAAGAATAAACCACCTTTTTTTCTTCCATTATATCAGTTTTTTTGTTTGATCTATGATATAAATATTTAAATAAATCATTTTTTTTCCAGAATTAAATTAATTTTTCCACTTAACTGTTTTTACTCTTTCAAATAGTTTTGATATATAAATTAAATTTATACATTTTTAATCTTTATCAAATGTTTTATTTCTACCGTATATTCATTATTATTTATCCAATATAGCCATTTTCCAATCAGTTTTTTTCAGTAGTTGTTAAATATAAACATCTTTATAATTTGTTCTATTTCTATTTTTTGATTTTCTATTGGATTGTTTGGAAAGTAATTTCATTTTTTTCCATGGAAAGAAAACAATATTTTTATAATAAATAAATATATTATTGAATTATTTATTGACTATTTTGGTCAAATACCTGTTGTCATTGTTTCTGATAGTAGCATGATTTCACTTTCATAAAAGTTTTGATCATTGCTTACAAAAAACTGATCCAAGTGATTTTTGACATTGTCATTTCAAGTAAATGTCTTACAGTTAAGAAAAATTTGTATAGACCGGAAAAAGTAGTAATCTGAGTGTGCTTGATCTGGTGAATATGGTTGGTTGTGATAGCACATCCCATCTAAGTTGTAACAGTTTCTGACGAGTTACCAAACTTGTGTGAAATTTGACATTATTGTGGTAAAACACTACACCAGTTTTGTTGATCAGTTCTGTTTGTCTTTTCTGTTTGATGATATTACTCAATTTGTTTACTTGATGGCAGTGCACTTTTGAATCAAGTGTTAAATTGTCTGATAAAAGCTCCAAAAAAAATCCTTAAAATCCCACCAAAGAGAGCAACTCTCTTTAAGAACGTATGGAACCCATATATCAAGCTTTGAAATGAAACCAATTTGTTTCAAGTAATCATAAACAGTTCAATTTGACAAATTTAATCTCTTAGTGATTTCTATTCGTGTTGCTATTCGGCAGTTTGCTTCAATTAGTACCTTTATTTTGTTTTCATTGCTTCAACTGGCCATTCAGAACGTGTTGCATCTTCAATATTGAAATTACCAGAACAAAATTTTGTAAACCAGTTTTGGCACTGTCGTTCTGTCAATACATCTTCTCCATACGTGTCACAACTTTTTTTCTTGCTTAAACAGCGTTCTTACCTGTTCGGTAATAAAAGAACAAAATATGCCGAAAATGATGCTTTTGAACTTCTATATTTAATGGGACACAAAAAATAAACAATTGCACAAAATCAAACAAAATTTTTTACAAAAAAGCCTTAAAATGTTAGCTGTCAAAATATATAATAATAATACAGTTTAGAATGAAGATGGCAGATAAAATACAACTAATTTGTCTAGTGGTAAAAAAAATGAAATTACTTTCTGAACAACCCAATAATTTACTTGTTCTATTTTTAATTTTACCAATATACATTTTAAAAATATTAAATCTCTTAGTTGTTGGTACAGTACATTTGATTTATAATTAAAAACTTTTGGTTTAACAAATTTTACAATTAAAAGGATTAACAAATTTTTTGTATTCTAATTTATTTTCCTTTCTTTCGATAGTTATATTCAAATAATTAATACTATTATTCCTTTCTTTCTCAATATCAAATTGTATATATTTTTTTCTATTAAGTTGGCTTGTTGCAAAATCAATTCTTCATTTATTTTTCTACTATCGAATATAATGATACAACTTTAATATAATTTTAAACGTCAATTATTTGAAAATATAAAAAGACAAAGCAATAGAATTAACAATAATCTAGGACGTGAAATCCACCAATCATGAGAGCATAATTAATGACAAAAGCAAAAAGCCAAGGGGTATAAAAAGACGGAAGAAATAAGTGATGTGTAATTTATTAGTTCATGTGAACAAAGTTTGTTAAGTAAGTTTTAATCAATTTGTGATAATTTTTGTATTTTTAATTAATAATTTTAAACCTTCCCTATTTTAATATAGAAACATGTATTGATGCAATGTTAAAATAATAATTCTTCTAAATGTGATTTATGCATATTTTGAAGTAATTGGATACGAAAAATCTAAGTTTCAATATTTTATTGTCTGGTTTTTTAAATTATTGTAATTTATTAAAAAGTTTTTGTTATATATCTTTTTAGAAAATTGTTGTAGTAAAACTGCTGAAGAGGGGCTTATTTGCCCAAAACACACATATTATGTGTACAGGAAATACTAAAGGTGATAAAATAAAGATTTTTTGTTTTTCTGATTAATAACTCCTCCTTTTGTAAATAGCCGGTACACCAGTGTAATAATCCTAAAAATCCGATAAGTCCAAGTTGACAATTTTTAGAATAAAGTACAATTTAAGAACATTAAAGTAATTAAATTAACAGGTATCTTTCTTAATGCAGTTCTGGATAACACCTGAAATTAATTGCAGCAATCCCTTTATATAGAAGTTATACTCAAATTATGCTAACATTATACTCAAGACAGCAGAAGTTTTAATTAACATGGCTTTAACAGCCTTTAGATATGTTTTTCTCAGCAAGGTGTTGGCGAATTTGCTATTTTTATGCTGAGGGTGATTTCCAATATAGATGTGTAGTTTAATTACATAGTTGTGAAATTTAAAACATTACTGCTATTGTAATATTGCATTATTTGTTTAGAAACTTTAAAACTTTACTTCACATTTTATTTGCATAAAATCAAATTAAAATGTCAGATAAAATGTATATCAGACATATTATGTATGCTTTTTAACTTTTGTAAAGGATATTACACTATAAAAACAGTAAGAAATGCTTGTAATGTATGGGGAAGATGCTCCTAAATGTCAGACATGTCAAATGTGGTTTTGAGAGTTACATTCAGGATATTTTGAAGTGAAGATACTAAACATATGGGGTGCCCAAAAAGCTTTTAACAAAGAGAAATTTCAGAAAGAAATTGCTAAAAATTGATGAATAACAATTCATGAACTTGCAATGAATCTTAGTATGTCACAGACATGATTGTGTTCCTCATGCATTAAGTGAAAAAAAAACAAACAAATCAAGTATAATCAATTTTGTCTGACAAAGGTAGACAGCTCTAAGATTTCATTTTATTTTTAAATTAGTTACACATTTTTATCATAGAAAACTTTTCTTACAAATGACAAAATTAAAAAGTCAAACCTGTCTATAATGGAACTCCAAGAGATCGAACACCTGTAGTACAGATTTCCGCTATATACAGGTTACCTACTATAGTTATGTCTTAATAAATGTGATTAATCAGTTTCNAAGAGGGGCTTATTTGCCCAAAACACACATATTATGTGTACAGGAAATACTAAAGGTGATAAAATAAAGATTTTTTGTTTTTCTGATTAATAACTCCTCCTTTTGTAAATAGCCGGTACACCAGTGTAATAATCCTAAAAATCCGATAAGTCCAAGTTGAAAATTTTTAGAATAAGCGATACCTGTATTCTGCTGCAGAAAGAGTTTCTTGTGAAAAGTTAATGTTTGTTGGGTGAAAACCCTGCAGAAATGTTAAGTGGAATAATGCTTTCAAGAATTGTAATAACCCATCTCAGGCCACCATGATTGCTTCAATAAAAAAATTTGAAAGAACTAGTAGCAGTGTGGCTGATAATGTGGCAGAGATGGCCATGAAACAGAAAATTTCATGGATGCCTGAAAACATTGAAGTTACCCATGATATCCTACAGCAAGAGTCTGGAATTTCCATGGGAGAACTTGCTCAGGAACTAGGGTTAGTTTAGCTTCGGCATAGCACATTTTGAAATGTGATTTGGAGAGTTCATTAAAGTTCATTCAAGTTCATTAGCCTTTGCGCATATCAGCTGAGTATTACAGCATTGTTTTTGGATGACATTTGATGGAGACCCTTTCATTTGTGATATTTTCTGGGGTATGTATAGTTCTTGCTGCAGCTGGAGGCTTCTTGTTTTAGTGCAGAATTGGATTATTTTGATGGATGTTGAACTAGTGATGAAATGATTATTGAGTATCCATTATTTTTATAATATGCCTTAATGATAAATGCACATTGCACACCTGTCCAACTGGTTTATGATTACTAAATGCTATACTCTTGACAACATAGTGAGCAAGCTAGCACTATCCCATGAGTGCCTAGGAAAATTGACTTTGAATATCTGCTGTTTCTTTTCCTCATCCTGTACAGACTATTCTATATCAGTTCCACTTGGACAATTGGTGATAATGAAATGCTGATTAGATAAAAGAACTTCTTACAGACACATACAAATATGATGAGACTTTCCTGTTATAAAAATGTCTCTGCAATTGTTGTATGTATTTTTCAAGAGTATTTATCATTTATACATTATATTTTATAAACTGTATTAAATTGATAATTAAATGTGTCATTGTACAGTACATTTTTTTTTATCTGCATACATGTATTTATATCAAAATATTTCTCTTCTAGGGCATTGAACAGTTGAAGAAAGAAGCTGTTAAATGGCAGAAGCATTCACCTTGGAGAAGCCTAAGAGCTGTATTTGGTCGATTTTCTCTTACGTGGTTTTCACCATTCACTACTCCTCAGACTTACAGAAGGAAGTTTGAGGGATTTCTCTATGCTGTTTAGAACATAGAAACAAGTATATTATGTTTAAGTTTCATCCTAAGGATAAATCAGGGCTATTTTTCTAGTGGAATGTGTGGGTTTTGTTTACTGAAAAAGTTAATTTTTATAATTTCACATTTCTTTTGATATAGAATAGCTCAATTAAATAATTTATTTCTTAAATAGCATTCAATGCAAAATACAGTTATAAAATGCTTACAAAAATATGAAAAAAATATATTTGTAAAAACTGTTTTTCATTATCTGCTTTGTAATTTTTAGAGTATTACATTTAATGTGTACAAAAATTAATGTTAAATAATAGTTTTAATCAATGAAAATTGTTAATTTACTGTGTCCTTGTATATAGAAATGCTGTTATGTTATGTAACAAACCACAAACTTAAAATAGACAAGCCTATTTGACATTCCATTAAAAATTCATATTTTTACTTGATAATTCATTATAATAATGTATTGAATTTGCATTTTTTTGTTATTTTTTTATAATAATTACTAAAATAAATAGTTATTTTTCAGAAGAGAACATAGTAAATACTAAAAATGACAAGCTGATATGATAATGAGTAAGTTTTAACAAATTTGTAATAAGAAATTTTTGAATTTTAACTACATTAAGAAAAATTTATAAGTAGATAATTACTTATTATCTATTTATCAATTTCAAAATATTTATGAAGTGCTTCTTCCTGGAAACTTTTATTAATTGAAATTTTGAAATGATTTGTGCCTTAAAGAGTTACTGCTGAATTATTTTGTTTTTGTTTTTATATTTGCAGCAGAATTACAGTATTCAAACAATATAAAATGTATTTTTGTTATATACTAGGAATAGAAATATCCTAACTGTTTTAAATTATAGTTTGTGATATATGTGAAGATATTAAAAAGTTTATCTATTTGAAATTATGCTTGATAAATGAGTAATATAATATATATATATATATATATATACACATATACATACAAAATATAAATAATAAATGTGAACTCCTGATTGAAAGAAATGTATATAATATCATTACATATATTTTTCCGTGAAATATTAGAAATTATTGTTGTTGATAGGTTAGAATGCTGTAATGACTTTCAGGAAAATCAACAGATGATTGAAGAAATGAAAAGTATCAAATATACTTAACTCTCTGTTGCAAAATTTTTTAAACATATCAGGAAAAATAATATATATAAATTTAATTATAACAAGTAAGGAACAAAACGATATACCATATTTGTTTGCATGTAAGGTAATGTTTACAATATATTCAGCTATATATTTGGAATTATATTTTAGTGAATTTATATATAATGCCATCTGATGTGATAATCATACCATCATATAAAAATGTACAGAAACATTAGAAGATTAAATAGGTTATTTTTACAACTATATGAGAACAAAAAATTATAGAATATAAATAAAAAAACAAGCCATTGAATACTCAAATAATATATAAAATAGTGTAATGTATATAAAAAAAGAAAGTTTCCTAAAGTTATATATGACATACTCATTGTACTGTACACTATTACTGAATGTTTTAAATGTGACAGATAAGATGTTTTTATTGCTAACTTTTTTGCTAATTGATAAAAATGCAAATTTTTATCATAGGAAAAGATTAATCCAAGGGCAAAGCTTTTTACATCATGTTGTTGTTCTATTACTTCAAATTCAAAATGATAGGGAGTAATCTTGAATGTAACTGTTATAATATGCAAAATGAGAAGCCCTTACAAAAAGATATAAGTCCAGTAAATCATTCTTATTTAGTCTTCAATTAAAATTACCCACAATCATATGAATTGTGAAAATTTCGAGATGGGAATCGTCAATTAACAGCTTTGTGTATATTGTATGTGCATAACAATTTCAATTAAAGTAATTAAAGTTAGTAATAAACACATTAATAGTATAGAGATAAATTTTAATAAATGTAATTATTTGTTATATTTGTCTGTTGAAAACATCTAAAAAATTGCTGTTATATTCAAGGAAAACATCACAAGATAATGATCTCAATGAAATGCAAAACAGATATATACACTGGTGTGCAAAACTTAAGCAACGATTGTTTTTTTTCCATAACTCTGCAAGAAATCACTTGGGAGACAAGAAATTTAGAATACAGAGGCAGTATTTTGTACTTAATTGATGAAGAAAGCATATTAGTGCAAAAATGAATAGAATGTATACAGTATGGAATCAAAGTCGTCTTGTTTTTGTAGTCTTGCACTGCATGTGCTGACTGCATACATTTTGCATGTCCTCATATCATCTGTGTTATCTTCTTTCTACATATGAATCACCTTTCTACCAAAATGGGTGTTCATTGTACTGATTGCAACAAGTCCTTCTCTACAATTTCATGGCTGTCTGCTTAAAAATTAGATGGTTGCTTAAGTTTTGCACACCAGTGTACTTGGACAATTGGTATTTAGATTAATCAGAATAAGATATGAATAATAATAATTAAAATTTTATACTATATTGAAATATAAAATACATTATTAATATGTAGTAGGGTCCCAATTATCTAAGGTAATGTAAACTTGAGTATTTCAGATAGTCAGAAAACTTGGACAACAGAATTTGGTAAATTATTAAATAAATCTTATTTCTATGTAATAATGTATATAATGTACTGTTTTTTTAGGTTATATCTGTTTATTGAATATAATGATTTTTAATAATATAATAAGAACTTTTACTGTAATTTTATTCAGAACTGTATTTATTGAAGCAAATGTAAACAAATACAATTAAAATTTCTTTAAATTTTTTTAAAATTCATATTGTCTTGAAGATGTCAAAATCCCTAATAAATTTTTTTAAACATCTAGAACCTATCAAATACCATGCTTCATTGGCCAAGATTTATGAAATGAATGGAATTGTCTTTTCTGAGAAAATATTCTATTGTAATTTACATTGGATAGTGTAGAACTGTGGTTAAACAGACTTTAATTAATTGGGCTCTGCTGAAATTTGTTTTTACAAACATACATAATAAATTTTAAAAATTTTGCTATAAATAGTTAGACAAAATTATAGGGGAGGTTTTTTAAGCTTGTTGTGATCTTATATGACATATATGAATTGCTAGTCAAATGTGAGAATTAAATGTGTAAAAATTTAAAAAATTTAATATATAGTGTTGAAAATACTTTTTTTTAAATTACTAAAATTATATAGATGCAACTGGCACAATACAATCTGTTATAATTTATGATATAATGCAAAGAAAAGTTATATGAAAAATTTTAAAAGTCTTTACAAAAACTTAAGAAAAAGATAGAGAGAATAATTTAGTTTTTTTGTTAGATTTTTTTCTTCTCTAGTATGATTTTACATATGTATAAAAGTTATTTGAAATATGAATATTTGAATTATAGTTTGTACTCAGAAATTTTTATATTTAAATATAATTTTTTATATTTAATTATATAATTAAATATAATTTAAATATTATAACTTATATTAAGTTTAACTTCATATAAGTATATACATACATATATAAGAAGTGTTTTTATATGTATAATTAAATCTACTTCCATTAATATTCTTATGAATAAAAATGTATAATTCAAAACATAATTTTATCTTCTGATGTACATCAATATAATGATGTTCAAAGCCAATTAAGATCATTTAATAACTTTTAGAATTGTATGTTTTGCTTTAATCAGTTTTAAAAATATCAAAATTCTGTGTTTTTAATTCAATTTCCATATTCTTCAAACTAACTGTAATTTAATAGGGGATTATAGTAAGTGTTTGAAACTAATTTTTAAAATTTCAATTTATTAATAGAAGTGAAATAAACAAAAAGTAAATTAATATCTTTATTATTCTTGAATTAATCTTCCCTGCAATAATTTCACTCAATTTGCTAATATATTACTATTTTTATTTTATTTGGTTTTATTATGAAAATGTTTAAACTATTAGAAGAAATTTTTTCACTGTTGTAAAAGGTATAGATTTGAGAAGTCAAAATAATGTGTGGATTATTGTCTGCAAACCATATTTTTAAACATAAATATTTGTGATTTAATTACATATTAAGTAGTTTAGCAAAGAATAACATATAAAACATTAATGTACCTTATTCTTTAGTGGTAACAATTCAGTACATAGAATAAGTCATTAAAAAATTCTTTTTAATTACCATTATTATTAAATTCCCTATTTATTTTACTTTAATTAAATAACTTATCCTTAGTTTGGATTATATTTCTGATCAAATAAAAGCCTAAATTGGCTTAAAAACCATTATTTGGATTTTGATTATTTAAGTAATACTTATTAATTGCTAAAAATAACAAGTTGTAAAATTGTTATGTAAATCAATTATCAGTCTTTTCTAAGTATATTGAGTTTTATGGTTCATTGTTTTTGAGGATTCTTTCTTTTTTGATTTTCAGAACTTGAACTTAGATAAAGACTGACACACACCAACCACTATAATATATAGTACTATAATGCTGTACTATATGTAGCAAACTCTAGGTAGCATTGAACAAATGAAGCCGTGCACACTGCATATAGTGTGTAGTGTGCTATACTAGCTATATAGCTGCTATTTATAATGCTATAATTTGTGTGCAGGGCTTTTGTAGCATTATAATACTATAATTTATATTATAGCAGCCAGTGTGCATCAGTCTTGACAAAATTCCATGTATTAAATCCATTTATGTGTTTTTAAACATTTATGATAAGTACACAAATATTTTGGATTACTAAAAATCAGTTATTATTAAACTGTAGTAAAATATCATTGATGACAATACATCTGACAATTAAATTATTTTATTTCTAATAGCTTTACAGGTATACCTCGACTTACGTTGTTTCGAGTTACGTCGTTCCCGATTATATGTCGTTTGTCAAAAAAGTATACGGAAAAATAAAAATCAAGTTTAAGTCATTTTATTCGACTTTACGTCCGTTCGCCACAAATATTGAAGTCGTAATATCACTAGAAAAGCGTTTAAAGCACATAAAATCATATTAAAATATATACA